CTCTTCGATCAGGTTTTACCCAAATATGACTCTTTTCAAGAAAGCAAATGACTCTTTTCAAGAAAATTTAGTTCTAAGAGATCCAAGCATCGTTTATTCGATGAAAACTGTTTTTTGCTGGGCTGAAGAGTTATTTGATGCTCTCATATGTCTTCAAAAAGTTGGGATCATTCATCGAAATCTCAAGCCAGAAAGGCAAGCGACTTTAAATGTTAAACGTCATCAAAATGCTTTACGGCCATAACTTTGTCAAGTTACTTTGTCGACTTTGTCGTGCCCGATCTTGTCGATTTTAGTTTCATTTGATACAAAGTGAATTTTCTTCCGATCGAACCGATCGAACGGTTGATGAAACTGAAAGAATGCGTTGATCGAAAGTGTTTGGAAAAAGTTATGGACGTAAAACAGTTTTGCGACAAAGGCGAACGTGGCGCACATTCGCGCGAAAATACGTTTTCTGGTGAATTTTTGACGTTTAATACGTCATTCAACTCAAAAAATTGCGCTGATCACGAATATGAAATTTATTTTAAAATCCTATCAACAGGTTTTTTTTAAATCGTATCGACAAGTTTTTTAAATCAAGGTTTTCGCAAAAAAATTAATACAGGCACTTTTACATTTCGTGTTAAGGCAGAAAAAAGACAGAAAAAAGAAAAAAGGCAAAAAAAAACATCAAAACATCAAAACACTAAAACTGAAAGACTGAAAACATCAAAATTATATGTAATAATGCGAGCGAAATTAGAAAATCTCCTACCTCAACACATGATGTTTCCTCCGTTGAATTTCACTGTTGGACGAATGTACTTGATTGAGTCGAAGCCTCCGTCATTGTCCTCGTAGAGCATCCATCCGGGAGAAATCGTTTGTGTGCCAAAAGAAAGCATATGAGCTCCATAATCGTCTTGTAAGCGTTGGCATCCATCGTTGCATCTACGCGGATTAACGGACCCACTGCATTAACGGATTAACGGACCTTCTGGTGATTGCTGTCTGCGTGAAATAAATCAATTTTTGTCTCATCGGTGAAAAGCACATTCGCCCAATCATCTTGCGTCCAAGAAATTCAGTTGATAACATAAAGAATTCCTTTTAACAAAGCAATCCAATCTAAAAAAAATTGACTTTGACATTGTTGACGAATTAGTAAAGAAACGACGAAAAGAAAAAGATAAAAAAAGAAAAAATGAGAAAATGAACTAAAAATCTCAAAATTTCAATCGAGTTCAAATCGTTCCTCGTCTGGGTTACGGTATTTATCCAGGTTTTAGAACCTCAAAAGATGATTTCGGAAAACACTAATAACTTGTTGATATTGGGTTGGGGAGAATGAGTCAGCGCCGAAAATCAAAAAAATGTCTAAAACTTCTATTCGACTTGGTCAAATAATATGCGTTTGATATGAGTAGAATGGTTAACTAATTCTCTACAAAATCACATTTAAAAGAAAATTCAAACAGCGCCTCCGCTCAAGAAAAAGCCATTTTTTCACAAAAACTACAAACTGTGATCTAGAAAAAAGCATTGATGGGATCTTCCTGCAAATTTGGCAACTTAAGTAATTGAATGTGCTCTATCTTTTTTATATAAACACCAAAGGAGGTTTATGTGAAAGAAACTGTTCAAATGATGAGTCGGACTCTTTGCCATTTTAACCAGCTGCGTTTCGAAGTTCATAAACTCCACGAAAGAAAAGCTTTGTGGAATCTCTCAAAAGTCATTTTGTAGAGAAATAGTGGATCCTTTTGATCAAACCAAACGTATGTTTAAAGAAGGCTTTATGTGTGCAAAAAGTCCCTTTAAAGTTTGGCGCCGACGCATTCTCCCCAACCCAATAGAATGCACCAATTTGGATGTTTTTAAATTCAAAATGATCGTAAGAGATGAAATTTTAATAAATTTTGAGCCGTTTTTTTCTGCCTTTTTTTAACACGAAATGCAAAAGTGCCTGAGTTAATTTTTCAAAAAATTTGATTTTAAAATAAGTTATGATTTCTCTGAGCAAATACACTGGTGGTCATATGTATTAGTACCCTCTTGCAAAAAAATTTCTCTCAACGATTGCCCCCCTTAAAAGGCAGCAAAATTCAAAGTGCTAAAAAGCATTTTTTTTTTTTGCTAACAAGCTCTAATCTCTAAAAAAAAAATACCGACTGGGGCTACCAGTGGTGAATTTATCGCATACACGAAATATATCAATCACAATACAACGACACACACAATACTAGGCTATATCTTAACTTAACCCACGTCATGACAGACGGCTCCCTAACCCTAAGCTCAATGGGGAACTAAATAGCTTTTTTGGTGGTGAAGGGAAGATGACGATGAAGGAGAAAACCACAAAAAAAATTGATTCGAAATGTTTATTATCTTTTTAAAAAATAGCAAGGACGGAAAAGACACCTCAAAAATCGTGGACAAAAGTATTGACACCTTGCAAAAACAACAGTAAATTTAATAGTCTATTGGCCCTCCTTTGGCTTGAATGACTTTTTCTATCCATCTGGGCATCGAGTCGACCAAATTGTGCAAAACTGATGATCCAATTTGATTCCATACAAGACGTAGATAGGACCAAAGCTCGACTTTGGACGAGAAGTGTTTCTCCGTCAATTTCGTTTTCGCAATTGACCATAGATTCTCGATCACGTTCAAATCTGGTGAAAAGGGAGGTGCTTTAATCAAAGAAACACCATTAATCGCAAACCAGCCCGGAAATCGTACCTCCATTCGAGAGTCTTCCGACGACTGTCACACAGGATAGAGAAAAGAAAACTATACAAGAATGGTATTTGAGAAAAGGAGAGAAATCCTTCAGTCTGATCACTCAACCAAATGAAACCAATGGCTTTTCCATTGTTGTGAAGCACACTAGTCATTTTATGTTTGATCTAGGTATCATCGTAAAGTGTTCACATTTGGTGTTTAATAAATTTCGCTAAACTAGACGGTAGACAAAACCTAGATGGTACGTTTTGTCGTTTTTAATCATTCACTTTTTTGTCATAGAGCTCGACTTTGGACGAGAAGTGTTTCTCCGTCAATTTCGCTTTCACAATTGACCATAGATTCTCGATAACGTTCAAATATGGGGAAAATGGAGGTGCTTTAATCAAAGAAACACCATTAATCGCAAGCCAGCCCGGAAATCGTACCCGTCCTCCATTCGAGAGTCTTCCGACAGATCCCATCATAAGTTTGCTTGTGTGAACTGGTGAGTTGTTCTGGTAGTACAACCATCCTTGAGTTAATCTTTTGCTCGCAAATGGAAGTAAACGTTGCTCAAGTACTCCCATGTATCGCTGAGGCTTCATAGTTGAATTGATCATCTCAAGTGGACCGACCACATTTCTTGTCATCGCTCCTGCAAGTTGACAGTTATACAAAGAAAACTATAGAAATTCATATCCCAGCACATAATATTTCCACCCCCCAAATCGAACCGTGGGTTTGATGTACTTGAGTAATAGCCGCTTTCCAATCGGTCGCCTGATCAATGGAGGTCCATCCGACTGATAGAGATTAACTTTTGTGTCATCAGAGAAAATTACTCGACTCCAATCGTCACTCGTCCAACTTTGGTACCTCCGAGCAAAGGCTAAACGAAGTTTCCTAATCCGAGGAGTCATACGTGGCTTCTTTATCTAGCGTACAACTTTGCTTTGATGAGTCGCCTCCTCACGGTCCTTGCTGAGATATATTTGCTGAATTGTGATTTATACAGGCGGCTTCCGTCGGTCGAGGTGAGACTTAGGTTCTTTTTGAATTCCCCTATGATCGATCGATCCTCGGCAGTTGTTGTTGATGGATGTCGACCAGATTTTGCAGCTCTGTGTAGAGAACCGATAATCTTTGATTGTTTAAAAAGTCGTTTCACAGTGCTCTCGCTGCATCCAAATTGTTCAGCCAAATCTGTTGTTTTCATTCCATTTTTCCGACCTTCAACGATCTTTTCTTTGATTGGAGTCGGTAGATACGGCATCTAAAATTAAATATTTTAAAAAGTCATCAAAACATGTATGTAAACAAGAAAAAAATAAAGAAAAAGCTAAGGTGTCAATACTTTTGTCCACGATTTTTGAGGTGTCTTTTGCGTCCTTGCTATTTTTTCAAAAGATAATAAACATTTCGAATCAATTTTTTTGTGGTTTTAGAGACTAGAGCTTGTTAGCAAAAAAATGCTTTTTAGCACTTTGAATTTGGCTGCCTGTTAAGGGGGGCAATCGTTGAGAGAAAATTTTTTGCAAGAGGGTACTAATACATATGGCCACCAGTGTATACTTTTAGCTGTTGCAAACGAAGCCCCGCTGATCTTGAAAATGCTTTTTAATCATTTTATAAAATAACAAAAAGTTTTTCACAACAAATTAGCGGTATCGAATTAGGGAGCAAAAATGCTAGACCACTAGATTCGATTCAATTCGGATCTGGTCTACTCGGATCTGTTTCAACCCCTGTAGCCTAACCACTAGGCCATAAGGCATTTCTCTAGAGGCGGTAACTATTCATTAGAAACTGGACACAAATGGTTTGCGACGAATTCGAAAACCTTTCAAAAATCCTTAACTTTGAGGCGACTTTTTTCAAAAATTTTTTTTATCTGTTGCATCGGAAACCTAGTTTTTCGGATTCCGGAAATTGTTTTCCAATAAAATGAGTGTTGTCGTTTGGGTGGAGGTTGAAGGCGGTGGTCAGTCTGTGTGCATCTCTAGTTCATGGTGGTGAAATGAGGCCCAGGAAATGGTAACTAGTTTAGCGTGATGGTGAAGCGTGATTTTTCCTTGAAATTGATCAGTTTTTCTTGTGTTCGCGATGCAGATGATACTTCAGAAGCGACTTTTATTGGAACTGTTCTTTATATGAGCCCTGAGGCGTATGGTTTACCCCCGGAATCTCGTTCGGTTTTTATAGTTTCTTGTATGAAAAAAAAAGAAAAACAAATTCAGGTAACGCATTTAAGTGATTTATACTCAATGGGACTAGTGCTATGGGAGATGATCGAAAGAAAGTATTTCATGAATATTTTATAGGATTTTATAGAATTTTATAGAATTTTCAAGAGCTATTTTCAATTTAGTGTATCATTTTAGTTTATCATTTTAGTTTAGATTGGTGTTTTCAAAATTCACTTCGCCAAATTCACAATTAAATCACTTTGCATTATTTCATGATCTATGGATGGGCCGATATAAATTAGAAGAAATTAATTGTGTCTATGAACAATTGAAGAAATTAATTGAACGGTTAGAAATGTGAAAATTGTATTTACAAAATACTATCAGATGTACAAATCGTTTGCCAGTTCAACGACCAAATCTTGAGGAATGCTCACGAATCATAGATGATTTAAATGAAGTAAGCAAGCAATGCAATGCAGCAAGCAAGCAATGCAATGCAGCAAGCAAGCAAGCAATGCAATGCAATGCAGCAAGCAAGCAAGCAATAAACTTGAGTTTTATCTTGTTTAGTTGACAATGGAGGATTCTTTTCAACCATTGATCATCGATAAACAACAAAAAGTAGTGCGACCAATTGGCTTTGATGGAACAAACAATTGGGTCTGTTAGTCTTGTCTTTTAATTTCCATTCTTTTATCCTGTTTTAGTTCTTTTCCGTCATAAATCCACAAAATAAAAAAAACCCTCGATCATTTCCGTTAAAAATCCGCAAAATTTAATCATTTATACATAGATTAGGTTGGAAAGAAAGTTCTCGGAAAAAAAAGTTTCACTGAAATTTCTTAAAAAACGAATCCATCAATTCATAGAACATTTTGTTCTATCTATTTACAAATCGACGCCAAAAAAAATTACTCGTAAAAAAAATGGTCAGTATTGGCAAATATCGTTTTAACTTTTCCAATCTGGAAGCAATTTCAAAAATGAACATTTTCGGCTACCGGTGCCATTCTCACATCCAGATGATCGAGCGTCTATGGGGATCTGCCAAATGGAGAAATAAGAAGCATCGCGATACAGCTACCTCGCTGAATTCATGGTCCGACAAGAAATTGTCCTTACCCATACTTGCTGCATGGAAAAGGACAATTTCTACGAATGGATGTTGCAACAAATTGCTACGACATCGATTCCTCATTCATCCTATTTTGATGTTTATTTTTTGATTATTTATTTTTGATTTTAATTAAGTTCATCGATTTTTGATTATTAAATGATTAAATTTTGCGGATGTATAACGGAAATGATCGGGGGTTTTATTTTTTGCGGATGAATAACGGAAAAGAACCGGATTTTCTTTGACTGTTCGCCAAATAGTCGTCTTGGAAGTTCGATTTGCAGTTCATCTTTGACTTCGTTGATTGACTTTCCATGGATATTGCTCAAAATTCGACATTTTGTTCGCGGAATGAACTTCGGCTTTGGGCAGATGACAGAAGATGACAGAAGATGACAGAAGATGACAGAAGATGACAGAAGATGACAGCAGATGACAGAAGATGACAGCAGATGACAGAAGATGACAGCAGATGACAGAAGATGACAGCAGATGACAGAAGATGACAGCAGATGACAGAAGATGACAGCAGATGACAGCAGATGACAGCAGATGACAGCAGATGACAGCATAACTAGAGATAGTAAAGTATAAAAACTGGTTTTGAATGTATTTTGGCTCTAGAACCTAAAGTTCAATTTAGCTCAATGTTATTGAATTAAAAGTAGACATTAACTAAGAATAAAATAACAAAACCATCAAAACGCTTTAAACCTTTAGATCCCGATCATTGAAGACAGTTTGGATCTTGATGATTTTGACGAAATAACAATAGCTGATAACAATCTTCTTGATGAGAAATTGTTGACAACTGAGGAAGAAAAAATTTTTGCTCAAATCTCAGATGGTAGACAATTTTTTTTGGAAAGATAACAAAATATTAATCATAACTCTAGTTGACTCTCTCTACAAAATCAAGTGCGACCCTTCAACTTTACTTGGAATAGGTAGCCAAGGACATGTGCATGTCATTGGATCACACACGTATGTGATTTTCCCATTGATATATACAGTACTGGACAATGAAATATCATATTTGAAAAACAATCGTCACTTTCGCACGTCTGTAACTCCCTTGTCTTTGACTTTAAACTATTAGTGTTATACATTTGCTGAAAGCTCTTTTTAAGGGCTACACAATGGTAATATTAATATTTAGAAATACGGTATTTTTTGACGCATTTCAGTGCGCACAAGATGGGATACTCAAATTTTTTGATTTTCAAAGCTGTTTTTCTTTATGATAGAGTGCTGGAATCGCTCTGAAGCTACGATTTTCGAAATCTACGCAAAAATTTACGTTAGAATAATCAATATTTATAAAATTGTATCAAAGTTTCATAGCGAAAAAAACAGCATTTGCGAAATTCTCACTTCTTGGGCGGTCAAGCGAGGAAGAAGCTGGAAAACAAACATTTAACAAAAATGTAGTGAAATGAAAAAGTAACAAAAAAGGTAAAAAAAGCAAAAAGAAAACTAGCCGAGCTGTCGATCGCAAAATCTTGATGACATCTCGAAATAATCCTCGCTTAACAGCCGCTGACATCCTTCGGGAAGTTTTTTAGAATGGCCAAGTCAATCGCCAGATCTTAACATTATTGAGAATTTGTGGAGTGAACTTGAGCGACGAACTAAGAATCTCAAAGCCGGCAATGCCGATGAGAAGTTTGCACAATTGGAGCAGGCTTGGAATTCAATCCCCGTCAGTTTCATCATTAATCTTCTTGATTCAATGCCTCGGCGATGTCAAGCTGTAATCGACGCTAAAGGATTTGCTACTAAATACTGAAATTTCCATTGTGTACTCTGGAGTTTTCTCATTATTGTTACCTTTTTTGTTACTTTTTCATTTCACTACATTTTTGTTAAATGTTTGTTTTCCAGCTTCTTCCTCGCTTGACCGCCCAAGAAGTGAGAATTTCGCAAATGCTTTTTTTCGCTATGAAACTTTGATACAATTTTACAAATATTGATTATTCTAACGTAAATTTTTGCGTAGATTTCGAAAATCGTAGCTTCAGAGCGATTCCAGCACTCTATCATAAAGAAAAACAGCTTTGAAAATCAAAAAATTTGAGTATCCCATCTTGTGCGCACTGAAATGCGTCAAAAAATACCGTATTTCTAAATATTAATATTACCATTGTGTAGCCCTTAAAAAGAGCTTTCAGAAAATGTATAACACTAATAGTTTAAAGTCAAAGACAAGGGAGTTACAGACGTGCGAAAGTGACGATCGTTTTTCAAATATGATATTTCATTGTCCAGTACTGTATGTCGTAGCCGATTATGAATTTCAGCCGATTATGAATGAGTAGGTCTAGGAGCGTCCAACCATCAAGTATTTGGTATCATTCAACGCAGAATCATTCATAATTATGTTAAATTTTTTAAATTAGAAAGATTGAATAAAAAGAAAAAAATTATGGGGCTTCAAAGTTTTCTCTTGAACAAACAGTTTTTGTGCTCTAATTTTTTTTCTTTTTATTAAATCTTGCTAATTTAAAAAATTTAACATAATTATCAATGATTCTGCGTTGAATGATACTAAATACTTGATGGTTGGACGCTTCCTAGACCCACTCATTCATAATCGGCTACGGGGGTCCCGCCGATTTTGAATGAAACGTTGTAGCGCCGACAATTTTTAAGCTAAACTCACAAATTTGATACCAATCGACGCAGAATTTAATTCGCTACAAAATGATATAATATTGTCCTCATACATTAAAGGGTTGCTCTACTAGAAAGATTTGCCAAAAAATTTCATTCATAATCGGCTACGACATATACTCTCAATGATATGTAACAAAAATCATGTTCATCATCATCAAAAATCACTTTTTTATCATCTTACCAATCTTTTCTCATCATTTCTCATCATCACTTTCAGGAAAGTTGCAGTGAAATTTTTCCTGAAAACTACTCGTTTTCTCAAAGCAGGGAAAACACAAAAAGATCAAGCTTTTGTCAAAGAGTGTGCAACTCTGCAAAAACTTCGTCATCCGAATATTGTTCAATATTTTGGATTCAATGAATATAAAGAATTTGATGTGATTAAAATGGAGTACTGCGAACGAGGATCTCTTGAAGATGGTGAACATTTTATTTCTATTGTAATATTAGGTTGTCCAGTTATGAATGCACGCCTGCTCTTGAACAACTTGAACAGCATTCCTCAGAGCTATACAATTTTACCAAACCCAATTTTCTATATGCTGTTCAGGATTTTTTATTTTATTACAATTTTTCGTGTTTTTGACGTCAAACCAATTTTTGATTTAATTTCTGTGTTTTGATTTAATTTCTGTGAACGACACGAAGCTTCGTCTCTGTGCCAGTCTTTGGTATGACTTCAAATTGGGCAAAAGTATCGCTGAATCTCATCGAGGCCTTTGGAAAGTATTTTGGAAGATACTATTTCAGAAAGCCAGTGTCGGCGATGGTTTCAACGATTTCGAGAAGGAAATGAATTTTTGGGAGATGAGGACCACCGGCCTCCTACGATCGATAATGCAATACTTAAACAGGCGATCAAAATTGATCCTCGACAAACTACACGTGAACTTGCAGAAATATTTGGAATAAGCCCTCAAAAACGCGCATTTATAACTGGACAACCTAATAGAAATGATTTCGATTCATTTCTATTCCATCTTTTTTTTAGTTATCTATGATCCAACGATTGTCTATTCGATAAAAACAGTCTTTTGTTGGGCTGAGCAATTGTTTGATGCACTTCTCATTCTTCAAACAATCTCAATCATTCATCGAGATATCAAACCAGCAAAGTTTGTATGAGACTTTTCTGCTACAGGGTGCAGCAAAAGTTCTGACACTTTTTTTTCAAACGGCTGTATAAAATTTCAAAAAACAGTATTTGGCTCACTTTTTGTTTTTTTGCATTTGTTAACCTGTTTTTCCTGATTTTTAACAAGAAACAACGTTTTTGTTTAGGTTCGCTTTCAATATGGATGCTAAAAAGAGGCGCACTGTGATACTTGAGTTGCACAAAGCCGGAAAGATACCGATGGAGATTGTTTGAGTCACCGGATATCCAAAAAAAAAGTCTGTCTATCGAGCCATTGAACGATTCAAGAAGCGGGACAATGATCAGGACCGTCCAAGAAGCGGCCGACCAACCACAGTCACCTCCAGAGAACACAAACAAAGTCAGATGCCGAATCCGTCGAAATCCCACTCGTTCAATGAGAAAGATGGCCATAAGTCTCGGAATCAGCGAAAGAAGCGTTTGAAGGATTGTTCATAAGAAACTTGGAATGTTCAGCTACAAATTTGCTCGGGCTCATTTCCTGAACGACGCCATGAAGCAAAAGAGGATGGCTGAAGCGAAGAAGATGTTGCACCTGGTCGCTGCTGGTCGTTTGGACAAGGTTGTGTTCACAGATGAGAAGATCTTCACCGTTCAAGCTATCCACAATCGTCAAAACCATCGCCAACTTCTCAAGCGAGGTCTGAAAGACACTTTTGCAGCCAAATTGATTGTCCGCCAACATTTTCCGAAGTCCGTTATGGTGTTGGCCAGCAT